TAAGCATATTGTGCAAAACAGCAATAAAAAAATAAAAATCCTATCAGATTTACAGTCCCCACCCTGCAGATCTATTAGAATCTGTCCTTAAATTACAGCCAAACCTATTTACTCAGTAACAGAGAAAAACTATCTATTAAACCTTACCTAACCTTAAATAACTATTAAAGCAACAATTTTCATTCATTCATTTCAGACAGAAGTATTCACTGAACTACTTACATACTTTTTTTTTTAAATATATGTTTATTAAGTTTTCAAAGTGAAACATACAAAAATCACACACCCAAGCATACATATATATTAAAAAATTAGGTTTCAAGAAAAAATATACTCTTACCAATACAACAATAGTAGTAATGCAAAAAAAAGAAAGACAGAAAAAAAACTTCAATAACAGAGGGAAAGAGAGGAGAGAAAGACAGGAAGAGAGAGAGGGAAAAAAAAGTAAATAAAATAAAAATAAAAAATGGAAACAAGCCAGACAAATGATCTAAATAACGGTTACACTGCACTGATTACCATTTACACTTTAGAATAGTACTACATATCCATGAAGGCACGGGTGGCATACTAAGAAACTGAGCGACTGTCAGGATCAGTCTTAGACTGAGAAATATGGTCCAGAACTGGCTGAACTACTTACATACTTGTATTGTATTAAACTGAACTTACAATATTCACCACTGTTCGGTGCCAAGTACCTTTTTCCTCTGATCACAGAGCAGCCGGCTTGCTTGGTTGCTTGGTCTCGCAAGGAATCCTGGGAAAACCAAGGATACCGAGGATACCGAGGACCCTTCCTTTAAATCGGGCAAAAAGAAGGACGCATTTTAAGGCCGCATAACGAGGACTCTTGGAATCAGACCAGAGCTCTGCGCTGGGCTATGATGTAATCCATCGCATCCAATGAATTCGAGCTGAGCCTATATCAAAGTCTTGAAAAGTTAATGCCAATTTTTTTTTGTTGGGACATACGACTTGTCCACCGGGATGGAGTCTCACTTGGAGCCCTGCTGTATTTGGATGCGACTCTCAGTGATAATTCCTTAATTCCTGGAACCTGCACACCATGAACACCCTAGCTTGAAATAATTGTGTCAACAGCGGTCATAGTGCTGACTAAATGTGAAATCCACATTTAGTCTGTCAATTACATCTTCTAACACAAACATTGAGTCACTCTGTGTGTCCAGTATTGCATTTCTTAGTATTTCTCTTTGTGGGTCTTTTACTGAAGATACGAGTACTGGTACAATACTGGTGATGGCAGACGCATGTTGTGTGGACGTATGGAACACAATGCATTTCTTTGCTTGTATGTTCCTCTGTTCAACTATTAATTTTTATCTCCACAGGTATGTTTTCCAACATTTTTTATTGTCATTACACAGAATCTGTTAGTTCAATCTCTAACGTTCTGCTCTCTCTGCTTTTTCTCATAGTAGCTTCATCTGGTCTGTT